TCATCCAGCAGGCAATGAAGACTCTGTGGACAGTGGGACATATTCAGATCAGAGTGTGAGAATTCTGAAACGCTGAAAAGGGTGGTTTAAGTGGGAGAGGAACAAAAGGAGGAGAGGCTACTACAGCATCCAGACTGAGGAACATGAAGGTTTCCAGCAGTGGAGGTGGGACAGGAGACAGCTAACTGACAGAATGGTTAATTCGCAATGACCAACTGGATGTGCAAGGTGATGGAGAGGGGGAAATCAAAACGAGAACTCGGAAGTGAAGAGTACTTGTCAAATTGAAGTGTTTGTGTTGAATGGACTCTGGGAGAAGTATCCAGCAAATACTAAGAAATAGGCATCTCAGAGGTCTGAGTTAGAAATGCAGTGAGTAAGTGAGTGAGAAGCAGCCTGAAGAACCCAGGGAAGGCAGAGGGGGAGGGGAGGTGGGCTAGGGGAAAAATAAAGGCAAGAATCCAATTGGGCTATAAGGAAAAAGTACTGAGCTATCCTCTGCCTTTCCCCATTGGCATAAATGTTTCCCCAAAGTTATGCTATTACAATGGGAATCAGAGAGTGGCTTCATTTGCAGTAAACCTGGCAAATGAGAGATGAAGGACCAATTCTGCAATTTTTTCTTGAAAGTCAATATTTCTAGATATGGTACATCACCGTAAGAAAGGTATCAATATCTTTAAGAAGATATGCTCCGTTCCTTTAAAAAAATAAGTAAGCTATAATAATAAAAGTGCAATATGCTAATTAGACCAGACATCCTTCCAGACGACCTTCCGGATGAAGCTGGGGCTGCAAGGGAAGCCTGGGTCCCAGGTGCCTGCCGGTGGCCAGAGGGAAGCCCGAGTCCTGGGTGCTTGCTGGTGGCTGGAGCGAAACCCTGGTCCCGGGTGCCAGAGGGAAGCTGGTGCCAGCAGCTGGGGGAAGGAAGGCCTACTTTTGCATGAATTTTGTGCATTGAGCCTCTAGTTAACTATAAAAAGAAAATAAGAATAAAAGAAAATTGTATAAATATTTTCTACTCTATTCAAATATCCCATGTGATATGGTAGAGTGGATAAAGGAAGCTGTAAAATAGGAGTCAAAGGACCACTCACTTCTAAAAGCCCTCCATCAGCTTCTCACCAACAGAGAGAAAACACCAAGGTCTTTACCATGTCTTCCATGCCCTTATAGATCTTTCTTCTGCAATTAACAAATTTACTTCTTGTCTTTCTCACTAGAATTTGAATTCCCTGCCTTAGGGGCTTCTTTCCAGCATCTAGATCAGCACCTGATATACCACAGGGCTCAGGAAAGGCTTGTTGGATGAAACCCAGAGTCAATCTGAGCCTCCTGGTTCTGTCAAGTGGGGACAGTAATCCACACCTACTCTGTCCACTCTTCAATAAAATGAAATTTGCTAAAGCACTTTATAATGATGTTTCCGGTCACAGAAGAAAGCTGTGGAAGCAAATATACACACAAAGGCATGAACTGCAATGACAGCCCAGAGCATAAATACTTAGTTCATACTTGCTGGTTCTATTTTTATTTATAATAGAAAACATGCCTAAGAAATATTTATCCAACTATGCAATATCCAAATACCTGGAAGAATCTACCCAGGATCATACTCCTTAGGAGACAAAAACAAACAAACAAAACAAAAAAAACCCTGAAGGTTGGGTTAGCTGACTTGTAAGCCACAGAAGCAATTTAGTTTCTGAAAAAGAATTTTAATTAGAAAAGATCAAAACTAAATTCAGTGTTTGGGGCTGAATGATGTCTCCCCCAATTCTTTTAAGTCCTGACCCTGAGTCCCTCAGAATGTGACTGTATTTCAAAACAGGGTCTTTAAAGAGTTAACAGTTAAAGTGAAGTCTCTAGGGTGGGCTTAATCCAATGGATGCCTGGCTTCCTTATAAGCAGAAGAAATGAAAATGCATTAAATCAGAGGAATTAGGACAGAGGAAAGACCATGTGAAGACGTACGTAGGGAGAGGGCGGCCATCTCCAAGCCAAGGAGAGAGGCTTCATGAGAGACAAGCCTGCTGACACCTTGATCTCAGGCTTCCAGCCTCCAGAACTGTGAGAAAATAAATTCTGCTGTTGGAGCTACAATCTGTGGTACTCTGTTCCGACAGCCCTGGAAAACTAATACACTTAGTCGTTTAGAAACCAAGAGAAAAATCACTGGAAACGAGTGATTTCATAAAAATGGGGTCAGCAAACTAAAATAATCCTTAGAAATATTTGATTTCATTTTTATCCTTTGTATTGAAACATTAACTTTAATTAGAGTTGTCTAGGTATAAATTCGAGTTGTCGAAGTCTTAAATCAGTCCAGTTTCCTCACCACACCTCCTATTCTCGCTGAGAGCCTGCCCTGCACAGAACGGTCACAGAAGGCGTATCCAGTGCAGAGCGGAGAACGGGGTGTTCAGTTCCTTTCATGTTTAGGTCCATCACAAACTCTAATTGTTTTTAGCTAATAGGAACACAAGTTTAAAAGGCAACCACATCACAGCAACTGACATAGCCTATCTCAACTTCTCAGGAAAATATCCATTAAAATATAAAATAAACGTGCAAACATGCAAGTTCCCTATTCTACACTCTAGGTGGAATTTCTACTATGTCTGATACCATAGGTCTTGTTGTGGGAAGATATACTAGAGTCTAGAAGGTGTGGCCTCTAAAACACCAAAGGTAGGAACAGAGGCAGAGAGATTCTTTCTTTATGAATTTGGATGCCAGGGTCAGAAATACAGTTAACTCACATGCCAACCCATGAGTCCCATCACTCCCAGGTTAAGCTCAGGTTGATCCTCATCTGTATCTTTGTTTTCCCATTTCAAGTTTTAATTCTGGTAAAATTTACCATCTTAACTATTTTTTAAAATATATTTTTTATTAATTTCAGAGAGGAAGGGAAAAGGGAGAAAGAGACAGAAACATCAATGATGAGAGGGAATCATTGATTGCTGCCTCCTGCACGCCCCCTACTGGGGATCGAGCCCGCAATCTGGGCAAGTGCCCTTGACAGGAATGGAAGCCAGGACCTTCAGTCTGCAGGCTGATGCTCTATCCACTGAGCCAAACTGGCTAGGGCCATCTTAACTATATTTAAGTGAACAGATCAACAGTGTTAAATGTATTCACATCGCTAAGCAACCAATCTCTAAAAGTTTTCATTTTGTAAAACTGAAACTCTATACCCATTAAGCAGTAACTGCCCATTTCCCCCCACAGTCCTGCAGACTTTTGCAACTTCCACATTCTTGGCTAATCCTCTGAAGTCATGAACGAACCTCTTGAGTGTCCTCATCACTCCTTGGTGACATCACCCTGAGCCCAGGAGGGCATCTTGGGTGAGGGGTGGGGGTGGGGGAAACTGAGTCACTGGTCGTCCATGATTTCTTACTGCTCCTGCAGGACACTGGCAGTGTGTGCTTACTGGAAGGCCCACCTTCTCACTGCACCAGATCACAAAGGATTTCTGTCTGCAGCTAACGACACTCCTACCAAGGCTATGAACCTGTCCTCAATGGCCTTGAGGCCCGGCACTGACTTGGCTTACTTATCGGCGCAAGTCCTTCCAGGCATCTGTTTCCAGAATAGGGAGTTTTCGTCCATGTTGAAGATTTGCTCTGGCAGGTAATTTCTCTCCACAGTCAGCTTAGCTAGAGTTGCCAAAAATCCTTCAGTTGCCTTCTCACCAGCACCTGCTGACTCAGCACTCACTTTCACGTTACGTAATGAGTAACAGCTCTTGAACTGTGTAAACCTCCCAGAGTAGCAGTAAACTCATCATCCCAACCAGGTCCAGCCTCATCATTCAACACTGCAGACACACTTTCCGCTTTGGCCGTGACGGTCCCGGTGCTGAGAGGGACACGCTGCTGTCTGGCCCTCCCTCCAGGGCATTAGAAGTTTCCCATGTCTGACACAGGCCCTGCTCTAATTTTGGTTAAGTTCCATTGCCTTCAATGAATCAGATGCTTTAATAGCTCCTGTCACTTTGTTCTGTTCTGAGAGATCGTAGCACTGGTGGCACTGGGAATGCCTGACTGGAGAGCAATAGCCACCCCTGATTTTCTACCTTCATAGTCCTCACTCACTTTAATTTTGACTTCAATCAGTCCACATGGCCTCTTACTGGCAACATTAGCAATTTGTATGCTTAGGGGCACGATGAATGAAACAACATGAGATTAAATCAAGCACAAGAGAAAATGATGTAACCAGGAGATATGTAGTAAACATGGGATGTATGAGGCTGTTTCGAGCATAGCACAGCACAGTTTCACAGCAACCTTTTTTTTTTAATGTAAGTACAAAGAGTACACTCTAAAGTAATAATAAAAAGTACACTATAGTATATGCCTAAACCCGTAACATGGTCAGTTGCTGTCATTATCAAGCATTACGGACCGGAACTTATATGCAATATACTTTTATATGACTGACAGTGCAGTACATTTTTAAAAATATCACCACAAACATGAGAGCAAGGCATTGAGTGGGGACATTATGACACCATTATTACAACAGCATTAGGCAATAGAATATTATCAGCTTGATTACAATCTTATGGGACCACCATTGTATATGACTAAACATCACTAGGCGACACGTGATTATATAATTTCAGGACATTTATGAGTCTCTTAAGTCCATCTGTGAATATTGCAAACTTTGTAAGGCCTGAAATTTGGTTTCAAAATTCTAATAAATGGTAAATACCAGGAAATACTATCCAAACGCAAAGGACCAACTAGTTTGAATATATCTGTATGAATCCAGTATCCCTTGAATTCCATCATTAGCTCGCTCTGTGAACATTTTTAGGTCCAGGGTCACAAACAATGAAAGGCATTGCTTGTCTTTTGCACAACCTCCCGAAGACGACACACTTAATGCTGAGTGAGGCGAGGCATGTGGAGGAAATGCAGGAGACATAAATAAAAATTTAGTATAAAGATCAGTAAATATGACAAGGATGGGATTTGACTCACAAAATCTGTTTCAAGTTTTCCCATTTCTTGCTTGTAGCTTCTCATTCTGTTGCTGTACATTCCTCGACTTTGGGGTGGTATCTCTCGGACTTCCAAATCCATCTGCTCAAGCTGACAGGGTGAGAGCAAAACGTCATTGAAACCATATGCTTACTCTTTATTTGACCAGATGTTTAGAGCGGAAAGGATTTCATTTCAATTCTTCACTTTACGGTTGAGGAACCAGGTCCAGGGAGTTACCCGCCTGGGATCAAATAATATTGGGACTATGTTTGTGCTTCATTTTTGTTTAGGTGAACAAATAGTTACTGAGTGCTTGCCAAGTGAGACATAGAGCACCAAAGTACTTACTTTCTCAGGAATTTCTATTAAAACACATGCATTAATCCAAACATCCTTAATAATAATGATTTTAATATGCTTGAAGTATCCCATCATTCAGTCCAACCTGGTCAGGTGTTTTGACCGCAAACCACCAGGACTATGGGAAATAAACCAAACCATTATTTCCAACCTTAAGCACACAGTGTCTGCCCAGCCTTAGTCATTTGGTAAAAATTCTTCCAGAAAGTCTTTTCTGATTAGGAAAATCACATACCAACCAACATGTGATCTCAACCTGCAGCTTCACTTCTTACACTTTATTACCATGTTGATTTGGAGTTAAATGGATACAGTAAAATGTTAAATTATACAAAGCTCACTGAAATCACAGCAGGGCACTTTTTAACAACCTGTCATCATATAACACTTCAAATACAACACATGAGCATCTAATGGGAGGCAGTACAGAAATATTATGATGGTTAAGAAGACAGGCTTTTAAGTCAGATGCCTGCATTCACACTCATTTAGGACCACAACGCAGTAACAAGTTAAATCATACTTGCAATATCTGGCTTTTAAAACAAAAAATTGGGATACAATATTTTCCCCCCTGTGAATGTATTTATATAAAAAAAATAGTGGATGACTTAGAGCACTGGGTTTAGCATATACTCATATAAATACAAATTCTTACTCCACCACTTATTGGGTGTGGACCTCAGACCAGCAACTTAATCTTTCTAAGCCTCAGTATTGCCATCTATAAAATGGGGGGGAGGTGCGTAATCACAGTGTTGAAAATCACTCCTCCATGGTTTTCGCAGACTCCTGTAAGTCTTGCTGGGCATGCCAGGAATGCAAGGCCCTAACCACTCTTTTCCCTGGACATTTCTCAAGGTAGTATTTGCAGGGAGCAATGTTGGGAGAGGAACTTCTGGGACAAAGGGAAGGCTTGCTTACAGGCTGCTGTAAAGCAGTATGCTTCCCAGGCTCCATGTTCCTCTCCTGTAAGACATTCTACTGTATGTGTGGACATACATCTGGGCCACCTCTGCCACTCCTGTGGGAATTGGGGCTCAGGGGACTCATACAAGGATGCTCAAACTCTGGCAGCTGCTTTTGCTGTGAGTGATAAAAGTCTTTTGTCTCTGACCTCAGAATCTAATGTCTTCTATTAGCATCCATGAAGTTGTGGCAAGCTTGCTTATTAGTGAGCAAATAGGAAAAAATCTCAGATCCTTAACAGTTTATGACAAATAGCACTTGTCTCCCAGAGTTTTTATAAAAATTAATATTATTAATATTATAAAACAAGTAATATGCATATCCCAGTGTCTGGTACCCAGTATGCCTTTAACAAGCATTGGCTATTGACAGCTATTATAAAATGTATTATTAAGGAATAAAAATTAGAGCTGGATATTTAATGAATCACCTTTATTAAGAAAAACAAGATCCCAAGGAACTATTAAATTCTCTTCAATTTGAAAGCGAATGAATTTTAAATTATAAAATGCTAATTAGTCATTTTACATTTCTGCAATAAAACAGGCTAGTGAAAGGTATCAGCTTAAATGACTCTGGTCGTGTGTTAAAATATATTACCGAGTCTGTACATACCAGTTCTTTTGCTTCTTCAAGCTGTTTCTCCACATTTGCAACCATCTGTTTCTTCTCATCTGAAAGACAATAATATCAGAAAATTGCTAAGAAAATAAATAAATTTAACATTTAAAAACTTCTATTTTTCTATACCTTTTTCCTTTCTGATCAATCAAACTGAGAATTACCATACCAGGCAACTGGCCATATCATTCTTTGGTGGGTTAGAAACCACTCTAAAGCCACTAATTCTAGGCTACCTAGAAATACATAATCTTATGGAGTACCTAGTGATTAAGGGATGCCATAACAGTTTAAAAAGAAACCAAAAATTATTTTGTTCTTTAGAAGAGACTGTGTCAACAGCAGCAGTTTTAGTGGTGGCATGAAGAATCTGCAAACTCTTCACTATAATGAATCGGGAATAACTGATTTACAGATACAATTTTAAAGTCACAGGCAAAAGCAATTCCTAAAACTGGACAAGATCTTAACAATCCCCAGTGTGGGGTGTGTAGGAGGCAGCCGATCAATGATTCTCTCTTAGCATTGATGTTTCTATCTTTCTGTCTCTCTCCCTCTGAAATCAATAAAACAAACAAACAAACAAAGATATATATAAATAATAAAAATAAAAAATAAAATAAAAAACTGTACTTCAGTTAACACTAAAATTGGGTGTAACGGAGGAAATGTTTGAAGTTAGGGCTACTGATTCCAAACCTAAAGTCAATAACTACTCAGTGATTATGGAATATTGGGTAAGAACAGTGTGTACTCTCAAAAATGGAGATGAAAAATGCTTGCTGCGTTATCTTTAGTTTAAACAAGCTGATACAAGTGAAATTACTTTTAAACTGTGAAATGCTAAGTCTCTGTATGAGGTTTATTCAAACTCTACCAAAACCAAGTTATAACAGAACTGGAATCCCCTTTTTCGGGAGAGACATATCCTGGCAGGTATTTTCAGAAAATGCCCCCCACCCCACCCCCATTCCAAACCATTTTTTCTGCGACTGCACCTACGTTTTGTGCTAACCAAATTTAATTTGCTGAACATGTATCGTTTTGTCTGCCTAGCACCCTTTTCGACAGATAGAAACATCAATGATGAGAGGAGTCCCGTAGGCCGATGCTCTATCCACTGAGCCAAACCAGCTAGGGCAACCCCCGCTCTTTTGAGGCTCTCCACCACCACCACACAGGCCAGTGGGAGATGCTGTCTCTTCCTATGACCCTGCCTCTTCAGTCACAGTGACTTGGCAAAAGATGGGCTCCTCATCCTACCTAGACCAATCCTAGTAGCTCAATCCAAGCCGACCAAGCAAAGTGCTGGAGCCGTGGGGAAGTCTTTTCCTCTCCCTTGGTAGAGTTATGAGAACAGGCGTTTAGAAGCTGTTGGCATCCACTGGCCTAGCCACAAAGAGCAAGCATCAGTGGTTGAAAATGAAGCCTACCTTTAGAAAGAAACACAGCTGAGAGGTAGAGCGATAGGACAGAGGGGACAGACAGACAGACACAAATGGATTAGACAGAGTTAGTTAATTAGTTTCTGGTTGCAGATAATTCTGAAATACATTTTGCTTGACTTTTCACGGTTAAGTTCCTTGAACAAACAAGTTTCTTTTTCTTTATTTAAAGTTGGGTTTCTGTGACAAGGAACCAGATGATTACTGACTGACTCATATAACAGGCTAGAAAAGTTGTGAAGCTTGAGATGGGTATAACACCTACTAGCTAAATAGCCCTTCAGAAGGACAGCCAACACCAAGTGGGGAGAGAGTAGCTGTCACATAGGTTTTATGCGTGCACTCCAGCCCATGCCATGGGCCTCCAGGACTAACAAACACCAGTACTTCTCATTAACAAAGAAAAACAAAACAAGCAGCCCCCCTCGACCTCTAGTCCCCTTTGCTACTAACATCTCTCTCCCTCCAGCTACATTCACATTTCCCTCCCTCCTCCCCCATTCCTCCCTGTAATCCTGCCCATGGCCCACCATTCTACTGAGATGACTCTCACAAGACTAATGACCTTTGTTTGCCAAACTAATGGACATTCCTTGGTTCTATTTTTATTTAATCTTGTGGCATCTGCCATTATGCTCCTCCCATCCTGTCACTTTCTCCTCTCCTGGCCTCAGCGACACCCTGACTCTGTGACTCTCCTGAACACTCACTTCTATCTCTGCGTCCTCTGATGGGGACCCACTTCTGCAGCCCATCCTCTAACCACCCGTGTTCCTCAGGGTCTAGTCCTTGCTTTCCCCCCACCCCATGACTATCCTCTATGCCCCTGGCAATTTCAACTGCTCCCATTTATTCACTATCTTATTATCTACTTATGATGCTAAGTCTTTATCATTAATCCTGATATATTCGCAGGACTCCACACCTTTAATGCCAATGCCTATGCCCACCTCCACTGTGATTACCTGGCAAATTGCTATTCAACACTCTCTTCAGAAATCAGTACCTCTAGGAAGCCTTTCCTAAGCCAAAAAACCACTTTCAGTTGCAATGTGGTTCGCAAACAATGAAAATACATCCTGCATATCAGATATTTACATTACAATTCATAACAGTAGCAAAATTACAGTTATGAAGTAGCAACAAAAATAATTTTATGGTTGGGGGTCACCACAACATGAGAAACTGTATTAAAGGGTCGCGGCATTAGGAAGGTTGAGAACCACTGAGTCACATAAAACACCTAAGCTTTTACCTAATCTTAATGATTTCTCTCTCACCTCTACCAGTCTGATTTACCTTCTACCTTGGAGGCTCTCGGAAGACAGGAACTGTGTCTTAATCATCTTTATAGTCCTACAACCCAGCACGGAGTCTGGCATATAATCAGTTCTTGGAAAATGATATTAAATTGAATAAATAATGTAGGCCAGTCCAGCCGGTGTGGGTCAGTGGTTGAGGGTCGACCTATGAACCAGGAGGTCACAGTTCGACTCCTGGTCAACCGGTTCGATCCCCATTGTGGGGTGTGCAGGAGGCAGTCGATTGATGATTCTCATCATTGATGCTTCTATCTCTCTCGCCCCCTCTCTTCCTATCTGAAATCAATAAAAACATATTTAACCATTTGTACGCCATAAGCATCTATAGATGCAAGCAGCGGAAATTTTTAAATTAAATTCAAAATATTGTGGCAGTTTACTAGTTAAAAAAAAAATTATGACTTCTTCCATACATAGCTATGTCTGATCTCCAAGACTCCAGGGCTTAGCATAACTAATCAGCTAGACTTGAGTATCTCCTCCCAGAAAGGACACTGTCTGGCCCCACCACTCCTCCGACTCTCTCCTTAAAAGCCAGTTAAAACCCAATTCCAATTTCATACCCTAAAGGCCCTGATCAGTCGTCTCCTTTCAAGTGTAGGTGTTCATCCAGAAAGATTCATCTCACTTTAGTCTAGGCACAGACAAGAAGCAAGAATTGAGGCCCAAGGTTCCTTTAAAAGTCCAATTAATATAACAAAGTCTGGGGAGCTGAGTCCTGCCAGCTTTTGCCTTCAGCAGTAGCAATAACATCCATCACTAATGGCTAATTCAGGTATTTTCTCTAAAGGAAAAAATGTGCTAGTATGTCACATGTTTTATTTCATCTGATTTTTACAACATTGTAACTTTGAAACTAATACCCCCTTCTTCCCCAGTTTTACAGATGGAGGAAGCAGGCTTAGAAAGACCAAGCAATTTGCCAATTTACATCTGGTCAGTAGCAGAACTGGGACTCTAAACAGATCTGATGCCATGTGTGACTCTTAACCAATTTGCCGTAATACCTTTCTTGGTCTTTCTGATTTACAGCCACAAAGTGAACGGTGAGGTATGCAACTAACTGCAAGAGAACATTTTATTAGGTCCTTCAGGCCTGTTGTAATGGAACCTCCACACCTATATAGGGTCCCTCTAACTTAGAATTCATCACCAGAGGGAAAAGAACTCTACAGTTAGTATTAGTAATGGTTTCCACTCATCCATTTCCCTGGCTTTACCACAGAACACTAATCATTAAAATCAAATTTCAAATACAGTGTCATAGAGCATTACCTAAGAACGGACTGATCCATCTCATTAGTCCAATTTATAGTTAGTTAAGATTCAAACACTTTAGTGTAAGAGCAAAGTCTTTTTATTGTTGAAAACATATCACAGAGCAATCAAATTTCTGTTTTAAAATAAAGTTTTAAAATATTTAGTCTTTTCTGTTCTCTTTGGAAGTAACACTTTAATACATTGTACATGCACAGCAGCGTGGATTTAATTGCCACCAGTCCTACTCACTCGACTACAATTTAAATACTAAGTTAATATGTTGAAGAATGAACTGCTTTGACCAAAAAGTTTGCTCCAACTTTTAACCTTCTTAACTGAAGTAAATTATAGTTCCTCTCCTCTGGGTCAACCAGCAATGATGCCCAGAGAAAGAGATTATAGTTACTTTTAATCATACTGTTTTGTCATATTAATTTCAGTTAGTTCATAGACATACATCTGAAATTCATTACTACCTAGATATACTTTCATTTTTTTCTATTTATCAATTAGAAACAGATTATAAAGTGAGCAAGCACAAGTAATTATTAAGAGGGGAACCACTGCATTTTAAGGAATAACTAGTATTCAATTATTCAAGTCAGCAAGCATTCTTCCAGTGCCAAACATACAGTCTCCTTTCAATTCCAATATATCTGCTGAGTTTGGGCCTCACATTATTCAAGAGCTAAGGAGAGTCAAGGCTTTATTTCTAAGATACTTAATCCCAATGTTTCCTTCTGTGTGGTAAGAATGGTTATATTAAAACTTAAAGACAAGAAAAAATAAATTCTTGGAAATCGTTTTTACAACTTTGAACTCAGGGATAACTTTATTACTTTATAACACAGCTTCCCAGTACAAAAGCAATTCTCCCAAACAACAACAACAACAAAAAAGTGTTTCTACTGCTAAAACTATTACAATTTAAAATGAGCAAAAATCTAACTGAAACCACAAATCCTCACATTCTGAGGCTCTGGGACTGATGTCAAAGGAAGGAATCTCCAACAGCAAAGACAACAAAAATCAAGATGATCGAGGGCAGTGGAGAAAAGCAGGACTGAAGAGAAGAGGCGAGGTGATGTATCATGAAGTGGTGAGGCCATCAGCCACTTTCTCCACAAAAATCTCTGAGGCAGCAGAGCTGGGTAGTACATGCTACCTTGGGTCTCTCCTCTTGTTCCCTCACTTGGACTCAAAAACCTCTTTAGGACATCATCCATCTCCTGCAGAACTAACTGGGACTTCAGGAGATGAGTGGGGTATAAGTTCAGAGATCCTGGCTTCAAGCAAACATCCCTATTAATAGAAATAGGTGGGGGAAGAAAAACAAAGAAATAAAGGAAAATATTATTTATAAACACATAACTTTGGGGAGGGGAGGGGAGAGGAATAACACCTTAGGTCCAGGGGAAATTATTGCTGGCCTCAAGGACGGACTAACAAGGTGAGACAGTGAGGTTGCGCACCAGTTCATGTATCAATGAACACACCTTTTCCTACATTTTATACCCAGAGCCGAGGTAGGCCCAAATCTAGCATCCTAATGATAGTTCAATTTCCCTAAACAACTAAGCCAAAAAGTAACAATCTTATCTGCAAACTACCACTTCAAATTAAATCTGTATTTACAGAAAGATAAATCCTAAAACAATGTCTTACAAAAATCACAAAGTAGCCCGGCCAGGGTGGGTCAGTGGTTGAGGGTTGACCTATGAACTAGAAGGTCACAATTGATTCCCTGTCAGAGCACATGCCCTGGTTGCAGGCTCCATGCCCAGTGTGGGGCATGAAGGAGGCCGCTGATCAATGATTCTCTCTCATCATTGATATTTCTCTCTCTCTCTCTCTCTCTCTCTCTCTCTCTCTCTCTTTCTCTCTCTCTCTCTCTTTCTCTCTGAAATCAATTTTAAAAAATCACAAAATATCACATTTATATATTTTTTTATTCAAACATCTGATCTCAGCCCCTTCTAAATAAATGCCAATGAATCAAACATACTAGTAACTCCCACTTTCACACAGTTGACAGTCTGGCATAAAAGAAAGATGTGCTAAAACACAACAAAAAACACACACAACAACAACAACACAAAAATAAAAACACGTCTGGATGGAAATTGTGGAATTTTAAACGTGAGGGAAATTGTCCTGTACCAAGTTTTTCATAACATTGGTGTATGGTCCCCCCACCCCAAGAAGGATGAGAAATAATAAATGGAGTTGGGGCTACGAAAAATACAAAAGATAGTAGCAGCTAACACCGAGGAAAGACTTTCCATATGTGAAATAATTTCATCTTCCCAACAACCCTATGAAAGCCCTACAATTCTCTCCATTTACCAAGAAGGAAAGTTGAAAGAGGTTAAGAAAGTTGCCTGAATGCCAAAACTTCTAAGTAGTAGGGGTGGGATTAGGCACCATGGCTCTTAACCCTGTTTTGCTGCATATAATTCTGCCGTCATCACTAACACAACAACGTCAGACCCCTCATCTGCATACATTCATTCATTCATTTTTTAAAATATATTTTATTGATTTTTTTTTTTTTTTTTTACAGAGAGGGAGGGAGAGGGATAGAGAGTTAGAAACATCGATGAGAGAGGAACATCGATGAGCTGCCTCCTGCACACCTCCTACTGGGGATGTGCCCGCAACCAAGGCACATGCCCTTGACCGGAATCGAACCTGAGACCTTTCAGTCCGCAGGCCGACGCTCTATCCACTGAGCCAAACCGGTCAGGGCTATTCATTCTTTTTGAACACTCTCACATCTCTATATATTACAGACGAAAAACTAACCAAACAAACAAAAAAAGTAAGACTCAGAGAAACCGTCCCAAGGGTATGCAAGTAACCAAGTGGCGGAGTCCGGGCTGGAGCCCAGAAGGGCTCTGCCTCCTGCACCCCAGAGCCCAGCTTGGACTCTGTCAACCACGTTACAAGCTCCGTCGCGGGGGACCCCAGCACCACCTCACCCCAGCCTCGCGCCTACGAGGCTCCCTAGTGCAGACGGCGTTCCACCGCCCGCCACCCTCCACGGGCCATCCCGGAGGACAGGGCTCTTACCAGGGGGCAGTCGGGGGACCCTGGCAATCTTGCTTGTGAGCTCTGCAGTGAGCACCGCGAAGTCCTGCTCGAAGCCTTCGAAGTCGGACGACATGGCGGCTCCGGAGCGACAGGCCAGGCCGGAGCCTAGGTCGGGGCAGGGATAGCGCGGAGCTGGGGGACACAGTATAGGAACCCTGGGACCTGGCCTCGAGACCAGAGCGGAGAACCCGAGACAGCTCCCAGCCCGGCCGCTTCCTGGTTGTCCGCCACAATCTCAGTCCCCCGGAAACTGGGTTGGTACGCTTTTTAGATTCCTTTCAGGTTTCAACATGAACACATGCTCTGAGGAAAAGTACTTTAATTAGTGCCTTCAGGAAGCCTCTCAAAATAGTCGTCTTCTAAGGAATCCCTGAAAGTTTGTTTAACCCCTCCACGTTGTGGAAGCGGCTCCAGCTCTCCAAGGTAGAGGTCACAGGAGCTTGCTTCCGGGGGGAAGTTCGAGGCGGCGAACTTCCCGGAAGTGGCTGTCACGGAGGCTGCGCACCGGGCCGGAGCGGGATTCCAGCGGCGAAAGCGCCGGCGGAGACCGACTCGTGGTCTCGGGTCCCGCACTCCAGCCTCTAGCAACCGGGATTTGCGCTCTGCTTGTTCTGGACCGAGGTGCCCATGCTGAAGTCACTCGAAAAGGAGAAAATGTGTTCCGGGTGAGCCCAGGCCGCTCCGGAACTGCGATGGCCGAGGAGGGGGCACCAAGGACCAGACTGAGGTGGGAGTCCAGGCTGGGGATGTAACCATCTTTTTGGCGGTCTCCACGCCACCCGAGTTTGACCAGAATCTCCAGTGCTTTGGGACCAGCCACGCTTCCCAGGATGTTCCTACCCCGAGTGAGGATTTCTAAGAGCTCTACCCCGTGACACGGGCGGGAAACTGAGGCACAAGGCAGCGGCATCTGTCGCGTGGAAGTCTTTATCGCCCTACACCCCAGAGCTGCTTCCCTTGGGTCACTGCGGTTCCATCAGCAATGCCCGTCTCCAAAGCCTCCCGGCTCTCGCTGCGGAGGGAACTTCCTCTTCTTTTTTCCTAAAATATCCTCATTCATGTTCTTTTTTCATGAACGCCCCCAGTCGTGATTTCACACACAGCTCTCTCTCCTCTCCTTGCATTGATCTTTGCTTTCACTCTCTCGCTTCCTTACGTTTGGCCCAAGTAGACCCTTAGGTTGGTGTTTGGGGGGCAACCACAGGCAAATAATGTGGACCATGCCTGGCTCATACTTAATTCGAGATCGGGTGAGAGGTGGTGTAGAGCTCCGTAAAGGGAGTCGAATGACTGGGTTAAGCTGTTACCTTTGACCTGGATCTAATCACCGAGGCTCTCCCAGCCAACTTCTTTTCTCTAAGTAAGGAAGCTGGATTAGCTCAACTCTAAATCCCTGCTCCCCAGCTCTAAAATCTTTGTCTCCTCAAGCCATTCACTAAACGTTGGACAATCACAGTCCCCAGACAATCACGTATCCAGTTTACATGCCATTTAGATTTGAACCCTATTTGGGCTCTAATAAAAATAGATGTTTTGGTTGTTTGGGTTTTTGTTTTTTTTTTTTGACATTTGACAAGCTATCCCCGGTAGTGCACTGGTGAGGTGCTTTTGTTTAGGTGGTTATGGGAGTTAAGTCTAGGATGTCATAAAATTTTTTCCTGAACTTCCTCATTTTCTTTTCTTTAGATTGGGTTTCAAACCAAGATACTGGATTCTCCCAGTTCAGATAAAGAGCTCTGAGCATGTAACAGTGAAAATGGATAACCTGCATTCACAGCGCACAGACTGAAGACATGACACTTAAGGAACACACGTGGACTTGTGGCACATGGATATGTGTGCACAAAAAAAGGAAATCTGTCATTCTTTAAAGATAGGAAGACATTCTTCCTCACCAACATGGGTACTTTCTGCTCAGTTATCAAGTTTGAAAATCTCCAAGAATTAAAAAGACTGTGCCACTGGGGCCCCATTATAGCCCTCGGTGTTATAGCAATATGTTCTACGATGGCCATGATTGACTCTGTGTTGTGGTATTGGCCCTTACATACAACTGGAGGAAGCGTGAATTTCATCATGTTGATAAATTGGACGGTCATGATTCTTTATAATTACTTCAATGCCATGTTTGTTGGTCCTGGCTTTGTCCCTCTGGGATGGAAACCGGTAAGAAAAAGATCCCTTTAGAATTTAGATGAATTCTAATGATAACCTCATGATAATTTAGTTTTTGCTTTATCTTCTAGCCAATAATATCTAACACAGACTGCTTTTTGCTGTAATAGGGACTAAGTGCATTGCAATTACTGGTCATTTAAAGCTCAGATTATTTATTTCATGCCTGTTTAAAAATACTGATCTAAATCAGTATTTCCCAGAGTATTTTCATTTTATACTTGTCTTGCATTGAGAAAAAAAAATAAAATAAACATGGAGGGGTGGTGATGAGTCCATGGTCATAAGTTTAGGAAACAATGCATATCATATACACTTATTTATGATTTCACAATGTAGTTTGGTTCTATAATCTTTTTATATGTAATACATTAACATCCTCAGAACTGAGGAAAACTTTAGAAACTTTTGTTTAAATCATAAAGTTTTTAAATCATTGCAGTGAAGATTAGAAGTACAGTATGAATCAATTTATGGCTCCTTAAAATTTGTTAAAAAGTTTATGCTTATGAATTTCCATATTCCTTATTGAGGGACATTGCTTGGTAGAAATGCAGAATCTTGAGCTCCACTCTACTGAGTCAAAATCTGCATTTAGTGAAATCCCCAGATGATTCTAAAGTATGTTAACATTGGAGAAATACTAGTGCATTGTATTAAGTAAATAAAGAAATGGGTAAGACAGTTCATATTCTGAAAAATCTTGTAACTGAGGAGAAAAACCAAGGCACTTGAGGAAATAAACACAGTGTAGAATATGATGAGTGCTGTCATTTTCAGTTGGGGACCTGTGGGTGGAGTGGGAATTTCCAGAGGAGATGGGTAAAAGGCATTTCAGGATTTCAGGTTGAGTGCGTATTCAGAAACAATGGACAAATTATGTAGTGCAGAGAAGGCTGAAAGAAAGGCAGGTTATGGAAGGCCTCAAATACATGAGAAATTGTTAGTCCATAGGGAGTTCTTAGAGGTTTTCAAGCAGAGCTCTGACATAATCAGAAATGTGTTATGGGATGAATCTCCTACTCTAAATACCTGCTGAGTTGTCAGCTACCTTTTTTCCTGAACCCCTCCCATCCTACTAAGATTTTGCATAAGTAGAGCCAACTGTACTCAGTGGTAATGGACTAGGATGGCGCATAGGGAAGAGAAATTAAAAATGACTTCTGAGTAATTGGGAGAGTGATGGTGCTGTTACCAGAAATTTTATACATAAAAATATTTTAGCTCAAATAAAAGGATTGGAAATGTAAGTTAAGATTCCATCCTTCCCCCACCCCCATGAAAGAAAATTAAACCATAGGGAAGCATTTATTCATAAGGCTTGTTATTATTTAGGACTAGAGGCCCAATGCACAAAATTCACGCAGGAGTAGGCCTTCCTTCCCCCAGCTGCCAGCACCAGCTTCCCTCTGGCACCCGGGACCCGGGCTTTCCTCTGGCCACCGGCAGGCACCTGGGACCCGGGCTTTCCTCGAAGCCCCAGCTTCATCCAGAAGGTCGTCCAGTCTAATTAGCATATTATGCTTTTGTTATTATAGATATTATTATAGATTGGTTATCTGATGTATTTTTTGTTTATGTTTTGCTGCCAAGGAAAATTCTCAGGATAGCATGTACCTCCAGTATTGTCAAGTCTGCCAAGCATACAAGGCACCACGGTCACATCACTGTCGAAAGTGTAGCAGGTACTGTCTGTCTTTGCCATTCACTTTAGGGACTGATCACCTCGACAGGTGGTCTTTTGAGTCCTAATTTTATTCTCTGCAAGGTGGCTACTTTATAAACAACATTGTCAAAATACTTGTGTCCATAATCTCCATATCATTCTTAAATCATCAATTCTGATAATAAATACATCTCTTTTGTTATATGTGAAAAGACTTTTCTAGAAAATACAGATTAACTTTGCTTCTTCCCCTGCCAAGAGCATGGTTGAAAGTCATATCTGCAAATTGTTGCCATAGATCACGAATTAACTTCGAATTGTTCTGAGTCTAATTATAGAGGAGAGCTGCTTTTTTTCCTTTATTTTGACTAATTTTTACACTTTATGCAAATCTAATAAATAGTCCAGGTGCCTATTATCATAGTGTTTAATATAAAAAACTTAATGAGAGGAAAACTGAGTCACTATAAAAATGTGAAATAAGCTAGAACCTTTACAAATGAACAGCTGTATCCACTTCTTAATAAGAACTTTTGATGAGAGTGTTGAGGTTTAGGGAAACTGTGGAAGCAAAGAAAGTTGGCTTGAGGACAGGAAATTTTCAAGCAGTAAAAGGGAAGGAAGCTTGGTAAGACTTTGCTTATTATACCACATATTATATTTAGTAGTTGCTTGTTTAACTCAGAGGTTCCACATCTAAAGGATGAGGACAGGAAGGAAGTTACATGCGTCTGCTAGGTCCCATCAACCTCAGTGGAGATTTGTACATGATTTTGTTGAGTCTCTATTGTACTTCTCTTCAGTCACTGCATTTCAGAGCTGGAGGAAAACCAGGAACCATAGTCATTTCTTTATTATGAACCTCTCAGTAGGCCTCCTGACTTCTTGAAACAAATTCATAAGGAGCAGACATCTTTTCATCAGAAGCTGTTTCAAAACCTGCCCTTTCTTTCCCTGTTTAGAATCTAAAAGAAGTCACTGTCCCAAATTGTTTAAAAACTCATAAAGATGTTTCTTTTTGTTTCATGGATTGTAATTTCTTTTTGACTTACGAACATGCTGGATTCCTACTTGCTTGGTCTGTTTTTTTTAATCCTTACTTGAGGCTATGTTTTTATTTTAGAGACAGATGATGGGAGAGAGAGAAACATCAGTCAGTTACCTCCTTTATGTGTCCCAACCAGGGATTGAACCTGCCACCTAGGTATGTGCTCTGACCAGGAATCAAACCCCGGAATCTTTTTGGTATCTGGGACGATGCTCTAACCATCTGAGCCACTCAGCCAGGGCTGCTTGGTCTTTTGAAGACCAGTTATTTCAAGTCCACAGGATTTCCTGCCTCATGTTTTATGTAAATGTTTCTTGTTAGGTGTGTGCTGAAGATGGACCATCACTGTCCTTGGATCAACAACTGTTGTGGTTACCAAAATCATGCTTTGTTTCCACTGTTTCTCCTGTTAGCGCCATAGGGTTGTATTCATGCTGCCTTCATTTTTGTTATGACGATGTATACACAGCTTTATAACCGGGTAAGTGAAATGTTATGAAGTCATTTGTGCCAGATTAAATGGTTTTTCAAGATTATTTATGAGGTCCCTTTTGCAAATACATTTTTTATGATTTAAGTGGGGAAACACACTTTGCTTTACCTCTAAATGGATTCCTTTTTTAAAAGCATTAAAACTTAATTTTTTCTGGATTATTTTTCTCTGGGAACTCACCTTCTTAGCTCTGGTTGAATTGATAATTATTTTATTCTGTTTGTTTATTTATTTACAGTGGAACCGAGGTTCTCAAACTTAATTCATTCCAGAAGGCTGTTTGAAAACCAAATCATTTTTCCCCATTAGGAATAATATAAATTGAATTAATCCGTCCCAGACCCACAAATAATTCCCTGTTTTAACCTTTCTTATATACAGTACATGATTAATATGCTATTTAATATATAAACACTTTAAAAACAAAAAGGACATGAAATTAAAATTTAACAAAAAGGAGATGAAATGTACAGTAAAAATGAAAATTTAATAAGCAGCAACAAAAGCAAAAAAACACAAAAATATTCACACCATAATTTCCTGAGATGTTTGCAAGATGAGATTTAGTGGTAAACTGACTCATACTTTCACATAGTCTCCTATGTTTTTCGCCTGGGAGATGAGTTACTGACCATACAAGTATCCACATGAAAGGGTTGTCAGGTTGAGAATCGAATTGTTTGAGATGAGAGATGATTGAAAACCGAGGTTTGACTGTATGTTGATTCCAGAGAGAAGAAGTGGCGGGGCGGGGGGGGGGGGGGGGGAGAAACATCGATCAGTTGCTTCCTGTAGATGCCCTGACCAGGGATCGAACACCCCAACTTTTGGTGTACAGGATAATGCTCCACTCAACCGAGCCACACCAACCAGGGCTGTGTATGTAACTTAAGAAATTTCAAACTTGGTAGCTATGGTAAGAATAATTAGGAGGGCAAAAAAAAGAAGAAAAGACAACATGAGGGCTTTCCTTCTCCATCCCATTCAGGTTGTGGTTGTAGTTTGTTCATTTCTAATTCCAGTGCCTAGAACAGCGGTCGCCAACCTTTCAGATCTCATGGACCACCAATGGTCCGCGGAACACCGGTTGGCGACCGCTCCCTAGAATGTGGCTCATGGAGCAGGCACAGTCCTAAAATGCTCTGCAACGGATTGAGTCGATTTTTGGGCAGGTAGTCATGAGATAAAGTTCAGGGGACACAAATTCAGTGTCCTAAAGGGGCCTGCAAGGTAAATGAGGGACACAGCCCTCATGGGACTGTGGCACACTGGGGAACATGCCTGTCACAGAGAGGACAACCCATATTCTATTTCAGCCAGCTTTTCATGTTTGAGAATCCAGCCCAGTGATGCTAGATCTTCCAAGAAGAAAAAATCTGTTTTTTTAAATGTGAAGTTTCCTGATTTTTAAATGTGGGCACCTAACTAAATATTTAAAACATTTTGCAAGCCAGGCAATACACATCTTTAGGCCACATTTTGCCAATTTTTCACCTCTGGTTGTGGAACATGAGGGAAGAAACAGCTGAGCCCCAGGCTGTCTTTTTTGCTGTGGAAGATTACTGTAAATACAGACAAGCAAAGAGGAGAGGTAGACAAAAAAACAACTTAGTGTCTAAATTGGTGAACTTAGTGTTGTAAATGCAAATTAATGTTTGTAGGGTATGCCTAGCACCTTTTGAAGGTGCAATGAAAAACAACCCCCAAAAAATAACATTTGAGAATAACTAAGAATGATATAGTATATGAATGAGTCAGTATGAGTTCAAGCCACAGTGTTCATTAGAAACAACTGTGTTTGCTCTGGCCACAATTTCAAGCTACCATTTTTGATCATTTTAATCAAGTTGTTTCAGTTTCAGTTGTTACAGTAGCCTAACCACTTAACGACAACCCAATTTTTCGAGCGTATGTTGTTGTTTACAGCTCTCCTTTGGCTGGAACACGGTCAAAATTGATATGAGTGCAGCCCGGAGAGATCCTCTTCCAATTATTCCGTTTGGATTAGCTGCATTTGCTGCCACCTTGTTTGCCTTGGGATTAGCTTTAGGAACAACCATAGCCGTTGGGATGTTGTTTTTTATCCAGGTAAGTTCCTCGGTTACTTCTAGCTAAAAGCTGTCGAGTTATTGGGGCTGCTTATAATGAGGACAGCCTTGATGCATCACCCAACCCTTTTACAACTCTTAGTGTAAAATAAGCTGATTTTGGTTATACTTCATGTTTCTATTAGCCTGTGATCAACTTCTTTGATTATTTTTCCCAATGCCTATACTTACAAATCATGTTAAAAATAAACTAAAATTCTGTGGTGTAAAAACCTATGTAAATGGAATTAGTTATGTGTAGGAAAATCAAATAGAATTTGGACTGAATATATTCAACTTCTAAGGCAAGCAGAATACCTACATTGACTGAAATGAGTCATGTACTTGTATTAAATAGATTAATCATATTTAAGTTTAAATAAAACAGTGATGAGATTTTAATAGCAAAATACACTTACGTATTGATTGAATGAGTTATATCAATATTTTATTAGTACTCTAAAAACTTTATTCAGAAGATAATCCTTAAGAAACATGAATTATTATTAAAACAATATATTTAGATTTGCTTATGGGTTTTATTTTAAGAGGCTTTGTAGTACGGTGGTTAAGAAAAAGGGTTTTCGAATCAGGTGACCACACACTGTGTTCCTTAACCTTTATCTTGGTATCTTCATCTATGGAATGGAGCAATAAACACTATCACATAGGGTTTGTTAGTATGAAGATAATAATCTTTAATGAACCAAAGTTCCAGTATAAAATTTTGCTGTCTATTATTTAATTTTCAGATAAAAATAATTCTCAGAAACCAAACTTCTATTGAATCATGGATTGAAGAAAAGGTAAATTTAATACTTGTTTTCCTCAGTATCATTAAAGTACTGATTTAACTAATAGACCAGATTAACTAACAAATGCCTGGAAGTGAAAATTTGGCTACCAAATGGCTTCCTTAAGTCATTTGCATGCCACATAAAAGGTAAATGTAGAAGACAGTTTGATTCCTCCCCGGTTTAATGTAACTCCCAGAGAAATACGCTTCTCATACACTCTGAGAGGAACCACAGATTGAATTTGGATGGGGGTTGATTTATACAATTCAGTAAACTCATACATTTTACAGGTTGATTATTCTTTTAATTGAATAACATCAATATCACCTCTAACTATAAGAAGATTTTCCTTAAAATACTGTCCCTTGATAATAAAATATTTTAAAGTATAATTTCTAGTTAGATTGACATAAGATTAACAAGTGTTTTTGCTCATGACCAATCTATAGTAATAAAAGTAATATGCTAGTTAGACCGGACATCCTTCCGGACGACCTTCCAGTTGAAGCCGGGGCTGCAAGAGAAGCCCGGGTCCTGGGTGCCAGAGGGAAGCCAGTGCCAGCAGCCAGGGGAAGGAAGGCCTACTTTTTCATGAATTTCATGCATCGGGCCTCTAGTGCTCTTTATAAAGTGCTATGCTAAACCTAGGAATTATTTTAAAATTGGTGCTTTGCTGCTGAGTAAAAATTCAAGCTTACAGAAAATTTATTGAAATTATCACAAACTAAAATTTATACAACAAATGTCAACTACGTTTGTTCACTTATTGTAGGAATAAATAATGTATCTTTATACCACTAGGTGTCAGTGGAACTTAAGAAGATTCTAAGCCAGTATTGCCTTAAGTTAAAGCTAACAACTTAAATGCCTAGAATATAATTTATACAACTCAAATATTTATGTATATGCATAAAATGTATACATAAAAGCAAATATAAGTATATATACATGTGTAGTGGTATAAAAACTGAAAGATGTGCTAGCTTTTAAAAATAATTTTCATAAAATGATGACTTCCCTGTTACACCTTTCCTGGCCATTCCCACGGGTGTCACTGCACCCCAGGATACAACCATTGCAGTCTATTGCCCCCACGAAACAGTTCCTCCATTCTGAATAAACCCCCTCCCCCTT